ACTGCTCTGCGTATGCGAAGCGCCCTCTCGATGCCAGACGCCAGCTCATCAGAGATAAACGCCTCTGTTTTGGGTGTCTGAAACCTGGGCACCGTTCGAGGGAATGTCGAATGAGACTCACCTGTGGCGTCTGTGAAAGGAAGCACCCGTCTGTACTTCATGTCTTCCAGGTGGCCTCAATGGGAGTACCAACGGCAGGGAAAGCGCCACCTGCACCAGCCGTTGTGAGCGTCATGTCCAACAGCGGGACGTCAACGAGGATGCCGGCGGTACCAGTGAAGGTGCGGTATGGAGATGGTCCTATCGTGGAGACGTACGCTTTTATCGACAGTGGAAGTAGCCTGACGTTCCTGAGCAAGGAGCTTTTGAGCCAGTTGGGCATCACAACAGCAAAGAAGTATCAGCTTACTCTAACCACGATGGCACAACAACCAGTCGAGCTTCATACTTCAGCCGTCGACAACCTCCAAATGTGTGACATGGACGAAAACGAGCAAATGCAGCTTCCGGAAGTGTTCGTCATCGACAAGATCCCAGTCAGCAGGACGGAGCTTTGTAAGGCCGAGGACGTGGAACCCTGGCCTCACGTAAGGGACGTGCTTCCAGAGGAGATCGAAGCAGAAGTAGGCCTTCTGATCGGCGTGAACGTACCAGAGGCCTTTGAACCCCTCGACTTCGTTCCCAGCTGTGACGGTGGGCCCTTCGCTGTCAAAACTCGCCTCGGCTGGGTCGTGAACGGCCCCGTCCGGTCCAGAAAACTGACTGAAGTAAGGGCAACGTCAAACAGGATCAGGCTGCTGGAGAGGCAACTCTGCCAGGACGAGGGTCTAGCAGCTGATGAACGTGGATGGTCGGTCGAAGACCATATGTGGATGGAAAAAGTGGAAGCTGGTTGCATCATGAAGGACGGACACTACGAGGTTCCCATCCCACTGAAGAAGGAGGGAACCATGCTACCAGACAACCGAGAGATCTGCACGAGACGGCTACAAGGACTGAAAAGGAAGTTCCGAGACCAGAGGTTTGCCGACCGATACAGCGAGGTGATGAAGGACATGTCGAAGAACGGATTCGTGGAGAGAGTGAGGGCAGAAGACCTGACAAGAGACGATGGACTTGTCAACTACATTCCCCACCACGGTGTCTTCGGGAAGAAAGACAAACTCCGAGTTGTTTTTGATTGTTCGAGCACCTTCAAGGGCGTCTCCTTGAATGACGCAGTCCTGCAAGGCCCGTCTCTCTGCACTCCCCTGATTGACGTTCTACTGCGGTTCCGCCAGGAAGAAGTAGCTTTCATGGGCGATGTCAACTCAATGTTCCATCAGGTGTCTGTACCAGCCGACCAGCGCGACCTGCTCCGCTTCCTGTGGTGGCGAAACGGTGACCCTGCAGAAGACGTGGAAGTCTGGCGCATGACGGTGCATCCGTTCGGGCTGAGATCCAGCCCTAGCTGTGCGAGCTACGCCCTCCTACGGACAGCCGTCGACTTTGGCGACCTACACTCTGCTGCAGCCTGTGAGACGATCGCAAGCAACATCTACGTTGATGACCTGGTGAAGTCGGTGACGAAGATCGACGAAGCCATCGACCTGGTCAGGGAGGTACGAGAGTTGTGCAGCCGGGGTGGATTCCACCTAGCCAAATTTGTCAGTAACCAGAGGAAAGTCCTACAATCGATCCCACCAGAAGACAGAGGGAAGAACGTGAAGCAACTGAATCTCGAGAAAGAACTTCCGTTGGAGAAGACACTGGGGGTTGAGTGGCGAGTCAACCCGGACGTCATCGGCTTCTCAACCACGGAAGATCGGAGTATGCCATGCTCGAGGAGGGGAATGTTGTCGGTCATCGGATCATTGTACGATCCGATGGGGATGGCTGCACCATTCGTTGTGTGCGGTCGTATCATTCTACAGGAACTAACACGACGACGCTACGATTGGGACGACCCGGCACCGGAGGACATTCAAGCTCAGTGGGAGCAATGGATCCGCGGCAGAGCACTACTTTCGACCATCGGCGTCCCTAGATGTGTACAGCCAGCTGGCCTTGGACCTATTCAGACCCGAGAGCTCCATCACTTCGCAGATGCAAGCTCTGTCGCGTACGGCACAGTGTCCTACCTTCGAATCGTCTGTTGTGACGGACAAGTTCACTGTGCGTTCGTCTTCGGCAAGGCGAGGGTTCTGCCCCTGAATGGGAAGCTCACCGTCCCACGAGCGGAGCTGACAGCAGCCACTCTGGCTGCTCGCATTGAAGCCACACTGCGACGCGCTCTGCAAGTCAAGATTGATGAAAGTGTGTTCTGGACGGACAGCACAACAGTGCTTCGCTACCTCCAGAACGAAACGACACGTTTTCACACGTTCGTCACTAACCGTCTGGCCGTGATACGGGACGTATCTTCTCCGGCACAATGGAGGTACGTTGACTCGGCGAACAACCCGGCAGACGATGCATCGAGGGGACAATTAGCGGACAACTTCATCGCGAACCCGCGGTGGTTCGATGCTCCGGCCTTTTTGTGGAAGGGACGGGATGAGTGGCCTGAGCCCCCGGCTGGACTCGATCGTCGAGTAGAAAACGACCCAGAGGTGAAGATCACCAGCGTTGCAGTCGCGCGCGCTGGCTGCGACCCGTTGGAGGAGCTGTTTTCTCACTACTCTGTCTGGTACAGACTCGTGCGCGCTGTAGCATGGATCCTTCGCCTGAAGCGCTGCCTGGTAGAACGATGCCGTAAGGTGTCCGTACTCGGATCCGAGCCGAAGGCTCAGGTGAGACAGCGGCTTGCTGTACCAGAACTTGAAGCAGCTGAGAGGGCAATAGTCACAAGGATTCAAAGAAGTGAGTTTGCCGCTGATTTCGCCTCGCTGGAAGGGAAGGGCGCCGTCGGAATCACCAGTCCTCTCGCACGGCTGGACCCGTATCTGCACGACGGGATGATCATGGTAGGCGGACGTCTACGCCACGCACCAATCCGGGAAGATCAGGTGCACCCTCCTGTCCTCCCCAGACGTCATCATGTTGTCGATCTGATTATTCAGAGCATCCATGAAGAAGCAGGTCACTCTGGAAGAGAGCACACTTTGTCGCTGCTGCGCTCGAGATTCTGGATCCTGCGCGGAAACTCGGCTGTCCGACGCGTCCTCAGTCGCTGTGTCAGCTGTCGTCGTCGTCAGGGCCCGTTCCTGAACCAGAAGATGGCGAACCTGCCTGAGGACAGGGTGACCCCGGATGAGCCACCATTCACAAACACCGGGCTGGATATGTTTGGCGTCTTCTACGTCAAGAAGGGACGACGACAGGAGAAAAGGTACGGAATCGTCTTTTCGTGCCTCGTCTCGAGGGCAGTACACATAGAAGTAGTTGAGTCGATGTCTACCGATTCGTTCCTCTGCGCTCTGAGACGATTCCTTGCTAGACGCGGGCAAGTTAAGACCATCCGATCAGATCGTGGCACGAACTTTGTGGGAGCAAACAATGAACTGAAAGCAGAATGGGAACACCTCTCGAGGAGTGAGGACGTCATACATGAGAACCTGCTGCAGAGGAAGATTCAGTGGAACTTCAACGTCCCAGAAGCTTCGTCACATGGGGGTGTCTGGGAGAGAGTCATTCGTACCATACGGAAGGTTCTAGATGCACTGATGACGGAACAAGTACTCACCGAAGAGACCCTGACAACTCTCCTCTGCGAAGTCGAGTCCATTATAAATAGTCGCCCACTGACGTACGTGTCCAGCGATAGCGGTGACCCACAGCCACTGACTCCCAACCATCTCTTGCTGGCGGGAGGCGCGCTATCCGTCCCGGTGGGAGTATTCGGAGCGGGTGACCTGTACTTGAGGAGACGGTGGCGCCAAGCGCAATACTTGGCCGGCATTTTTTGGTCCAGGTGGATCAAAGAATACATTCCACTCTTGCAGCAGAGGCAGAAGGCCTTTCGTGTTACGAGATCACTCATGGTGAACGACGTCGTCCTGGTAGCCGATAGGGAGCTCCCCAGGTCTCGCTGGCCCCTGGGCCGCGTCATTGAAACTTTTCCGGGCAAGGATGGCCTGGTTCGTAGTGTTAAATTGAGAGCAAAGGGCGCAGAGATACTCCGCCCTGTCAACAAACTGGTCCTCATGTGCGAAGACGAGTATTGTGAACGCTAGGACTGTGTTTGACTGCGCGTGTCTCGTCTCATGTGTTAGTTTAGGGTTGTTGAAATAGGCTAAGACCAGTGTTGAATGCGCGTGCCTTCAAAGGGGGCGGTGTAGGCGCCATGCGGTTTAGTAGCCTGTTCCTGCGGGCGGCCGGCCCTCCCCTCCCCGGCGCATCCCTCCTCCCCCCTTGGGCCGGTGGCTGACCTTGCCGATCAGCTGATCGCCGGCCGCGCCTTAGAGGTGGGCGGGGGGGCTTGTGTCGGGGATGAGCTAAGTACTGTGAGGCTGCAATGTTTGTTTCTTTTCTTTTGTGGGTATCTGATACACTATGCCTATGATTTTGCGAACTTTGGGCCTTTGATCCTTATTTGTAATACCAATAGCGCGTGATTCGTCAAGCTTTGTTCATGTTTCGAAGTACTGGTATTTGTTTTGCGTAGATCCAGCGGCGCCGCCGCGCTCTATTGGCTGCCATGTTGGCGAGCGGGGCGAGTGCAGGCATTTTGGTCCAAGATCGGTCACGGGCCGTGATGAAGAACTTGTTTGTCTTTTGATTCGCCTTAATATAGGCGGTTGCCCTTGTCGGAGTAGTGGGAGGCGAGCAGGCCCGACGAAACGCGACAGTCGGTAAGATATTCATTGATAAATGCTCGTGTTGGTAAATTGAGCGTCTATTTGATAGATGTGTTACGATAGTGACGCTGGTGTACACGGTAATAGATGATGGTGGCCGCAAGAACTTCTGTGTATGTGGCCTGTGTGTCGATTGTGAGCCATATTTTCGCTTGCAGAAACGGTACAATACAAGAACCAGTTCCGACAACCATCGTCTGGGTGTTCAGGCGGCTACATTACCGCTGTTGTGCGACTTTCTGAGCGGCATGCTGGTCACACTGCTGCTCTCGGGGTTCAGGTCGACGGGCAGAGTGTCCGACTGAGACCGCTCGTGGCTGCGACCTGGCGGAGTGAGATGGGGGGGGGGGGGGTCAGAGGTGTGGAGGTTATAGCGATGGTTATTTTAGTGGCGAGGAGGTTATATCAGAGGCAATGAATTTATTCCAAACACAATGTCATTTCAGTTAGCGGGAGCAGCTAGCATCAGAGACAATCCCATATCAGATACAAGGTTCATCAAATACAACGAAGGTTGTATCAAAGGTGAGGAGATCACACGACAGACAAGGTTAATCAGAGGCAAGGAAGATTGTATCCGATACAAGGCCACAGCAGAGGCAAGGAGGGTCACTATTCAGAGTGCAATTAATGAGAGTTTAAAGAACAGCACAAAAGTGGAAGGAACAAATCAGAACACAGGCAGTAAATGCGAGAATATGTCGACAGTTCCCAGCAAGAACACGTCCGTAAGTGTCAAATTTTCGAAATTGAGATTTTTACACCATTCGACTCAGCTCGTCGAGCTGAGTCAGTCATCAGTCAGGCCCGAATCCAGTGATGAGATTCATGTAAAGCGTCGTCACAGCATAGAACTGTCAAGGCCAAGGCACAACACAGAGCAGAAAATAGCTCACACCACCATATGCCTACAGAGCTAAAACTGGCACACCGATTATACCAGCATGTGTCAGGTTTCACCAAAACACTCAACGCAAAGACCACCTGACGGATAAATACGAGCCACGGAATGGTTTGTCGAGCTAAACACCTCGCGAGTAATTATGAAGGGTGACATTTGCCGTTGGAAGATTACACGGTGAGGAGACTGTGCGTAAACACATTAATTAGTCGTAACGTGAAATACACTTAGAGGCACAAAGGCTGTCAGTTCCAGTCAAGTTGGCACGACGTGCCAGTCTTTTGAACCTCCCTTTACAGATTCACGCAAACGCGCTTATCGTCTCTCTCTCACTCCCTCTCTCTCTCTCTCTCTCTCTCTCTCTCTCTCTCTCTCTCTCTCTCTCTCTCTCTCTCTCTCTCTCTCTCTCTCTCTCTCACTCACTCACTCACTCACTCACTCACTCACTCACTCACTCACTCACTCACTCACTCACTCACTCACTCACTCACTCACTCTCTCCCTCACTCTCTCACTCACTCACTCACTCACTCACTCACTCACTCACTCACTCACTCACTCCCTCCCTCCCTCCCTCCCTCCCTCCCTCCCTCCATCCCTCCCTCCTCCCCCCTCAGATCACCCACCTGACCCAGGCCGGCGTCTCGCCTGTCCCGGTGAAGGCGATCCGGCCGGAGAGCCTGTTGTCAGCAGGTGTGGAAGATGCGGCCCCCGGCTCGCCGGCTGGTGCGGCCGCGTCTTCGTCTCAGCAAGAGACATTAGTTTCCGCACGGCACTCGGCGAAGCGGCGCCTGCGGGAACGACAAATGCCGGGAGAGGGTGTTATATACGCTCGGAGCGGAATTTTAAAGTGCCGAGACGGGCCTCGAGCGACGCTCAAAAGTGGCAGCACGCCAGCCCTAGAACTGAGCCGTTTGGAGTGCTCTTGAGGAGCCGTTTAAAGATGGCACCATACACACGCAGAGGTGATTGTGAGGATATACTAGGCCCGGAGAGGTAAGCGAAAAATAAAAAATAGTAAATGTGTAACGCAAAAAGCAGCAAAGCTCTTCTTTAGTAATTCGAATAAGATGTTTAATTATTAATTGGAAAACTAAGCATTCTCTACAACTTGAAGCGTAAGCGTTGCGCATCGATGTGATGATGATGATTTGGTGTTTTAGGGCGCACCAGCAACGAGGCTATATGGCGCCCATATCTAGCCATTCTTCCTCAAAGTCGGGGGTTAAAAATCACCTGAAGCCCGGAGGCCGTGATGAACGAAAAGAGGCGAAAGGAATCGAGAAAAGGGGAGTCGTCGCGGAGAAGTGTTCTCAAAGAGAGCTGGGGGCCACGCAATCCAAAAAACCGCAATCGCTCAGCGTCCAGTCTCGGGCACTCGACCAAGACGTGTCGGACCGAAAGTCGGTCACCACATCTGGTACAAATAGGCCTGGAGCCAACGCCGATAAGGAACCCATGGGTGCCATAAGTGTGCCCGGTACGAAGCCGGCAGAGGACCACCTCCTCGCGTCGCGATCTGCGTGAGGCCGACAACCAGGAAGCTAAACCTGGCTTGATACGTAAAAGTTTGTTACCGTGGGATTGGCTCCAGGCCTCCTGCCACTTTCCGAGGAGGAAAGAGCCCACCGCCGGTACAAAGTCCCTGGCGGGTAGAGGGAATCGGCGGGAGCACGGATACTGCGCAGCATGGTTCGCAGCTCGGTCCGCCCGTTCGTTGCCGTGAATACCGACGTGGCTAGGGATCCAGCAAAAAGACACCGACGTACCCTCTCGGTCGAGGGCTGTCACACGAAGAAGAATCTCCTGTGAGAGGGGGTCAGAAGGATAGAATTGTGACAAGGACTGGAGACCACTCAATGAGTCAGAAAGAATAACATATGACCGAGCGGGATTAATCTCGATAAAACACAGGAGTTTGAGGATAGCGACCAATTCGCAGGAAAAAACGGATGCATGTTTAGGTAAGGTAAAACACCGCACAGCGTCGCCGCAGACGAAAGCACACCCGGCACCGTCATCAGTCTTTGAGCCGTCAGTATAACAGGCTATGTAGTCAGAGTACCTTGAAATATGTTCCAGCGCACGAGCCTTTAAAACAGCTGGAGGGATGTCGCCTTTTCTCACATCGGTGAGGGAAAGGTCCACCTTTGGCGGGACTTGTCTCCACGGTGGGACAGATGGCCACTCCTTACGCATGATCCCCCGAAGTTTAATTTGAGCTTCCGAGAGCAGCGATTGCATACGAGAGCAGAAAGGGGGGTAGCGGACAGTACGTGCACCTTCTCCGGTTCTGAAAAGCGCCAGGTTGGCACGTGAGAAAACTGCATCATAGGCAGGGTGGGAAGGCAACTGGCGGAGTTTTATGGTATATCTCATGCCCAGTAGCTGGCGACGCAAGGCAAGAGGTGGCTCGTGGGCCTCTACAAGGAGGCTGGCTACTGGGGTGGTCCGGAACGCACCAGTGGCAATACGGAGAGCAGTATGGTGCACAGAGTCCAGAATACGTTTCGAGGTCTCTGTGGCGTTATCGTATATAAAACAGCCGTAGTCAAGTCTAGAACGGACAAGAGCACGATAAAGCAAGAACAGTGTCTTACGATCCGCCCCATAGCAGGTACGCGCAACACATTTCAAAACATTCATAGCTCGAAAACATCGGTCGCGGAGCTCTTTCAGGTGAGTGCGGTAGGTAAGACGGCTGTCTATTACCATCCCAAGAAACTTCACCTCCGACTTCACAGGGATCACTGCACCCCTTAGCCTGACAGAGAAGTCAGGGCAATTACGGCGAAAACGGCAAAAGTGGACACCTACAGTTTTGGCTGTCGAGAATCGTAGTCCGTTAACAGCACTCCAGTTTTCTAATCTTTTAATTGCCAACTGGAGCTGTCTCTCTACTATACGTGTGGTTGCACCACTGGCCCAGATAGAGAAGTCATCCACAAAAAGGGCACGGCCAATGGAAGGGGGCAGGTGATCGGCAATATCGTTAATCATTACCCCGAACAGCACAACACTTAGGACTCCTCCTTGGGGGACACCGTTGACCTGGGGGAACTGCTCTGAGAGGTTGCCACCGACACGGACTCTGAAAGACCGGTTAGATAAAAAGCTGGCGAGGAAATGGCCCATTGTACCGCGTATACCGTACTTGAAAAGCTTTTGTAAAATACCGAAACGCCAAGTGGTATCATACGCAGCCTCAATGTCGAAAAACAATGCACCAATGTGTCGCTTCCGCCTAAATGCGCAACGAACCTCGGTATCAAGGGCTAAAATGTGGTCTACTGTGCTCCGATACTTTCTGAAACCGCACTGCGAGTTAGATAAAACACCTTGTTCCTCCAGAAACCAGACGAGACGCGCGTTTACAACTCGCTCAAGCAGCTTGCCCAGGGCAGATGTCAACGCAATAGGGCGGTAGTGAAGCGGATCAAGCCCGCTTTTACCAGCCTTCAGCACCGGGATAATGATGGCCGTCCGCCATGTTTCGGGATACAGCCCTCTTTCCCAGAGCGCATTGAAAAGATGGAGCAATGCTTCAAGTCCCGGTGACGGGAGACGCCGAAGCATCTCATTGTGTACAAGATCAGGGCCTTCTGCGACACACTTCAGGCCACCTATAGCGGACTTTAACTCTTCCATAGTAAAGGGATCATTGTAGCTAAAATGTTGTGATGTGTTAAAATTGACGCCAGTCGATTCGCACCGAGCACGATGGCGGGCGAAGTCGGGGTCAGAACAGTCACCGACACAGCGGTCATGTAACGCACGGCCTATTTCGTACGCTACATCAGCTGGGTTCGACACATTTCTGCCAAACACACTCAGAACAGGAAGAGGGGATGAGGAGAAACGACCTGATATACGTTTTATACGGGACCAAACCTCGGAGATTGGCGTGAATCTGTTAAGCTGGCTGATGTATTCCACCCAGGATTCGTGTTTAGCTTTCTTGACCGTCCACCTAGCGAACGCTCTGGCTTTTCTAAACGCGATCATGTTTGCGGTGGTGCAGTTATGCCTGAAAGCGCGCAGCGCTCGTTTCCGCGCTCTGATGGCGTCTCGACACGCATCGGACCACCATGGGACCGGCCGGCGAGAAGGCGCCCCCGATGTACGAGGAATGGATGCCTTGGCTGCTTCAATGAGTAAGGAGGTGAAATCGGTTACTGACAGATCATCTGTAGGGTCAGATGAGAGAGCATCCTCCAAGCACGTTTGAAATTTCTCCCAGTCTGCCCTCCGCAGGTTCCATCTCGGTGGCCGGCAGCCAACCGAGGGCCGCTCACGCAGTTCAAGCCATATGGGGAAATGGTCACTACCAAAAGAGTCCGCGTCCACTCGCCACGTAAAAAGCGGCACAAGGTGTGGACTGACAAGGCTGAGATCTAGAACTGATGAATGTCCCGACGGCATGGTGAAATGGGTAGCAGCACCAGTGTTTAAAACACAAAGGCCCTCCTCGTCTATCAAGGACGCTAAAAGTCGACCGCGTGTACACACAGAATCACATCCCCATGCAGAGTGGTGAGAGTTAAAATCACCCAGAAGCATCACAGGTGGAGGGAGCTCGGCGATTAGCCGGCGTAGTTCCAGAAGAGGAAGAGCTGCGCCAGGGGGACAGTAAAGTGAGCACACAGTGATGTCACGCTGGCCTAGATGAATGCGGACCGCTACCGCCTGAAGGGGCGAGCTTAAATCAATACATCTCGCAGGCACGGCGTTATGGACCAGAACCATAACACCTCCGTGCGCGACGGTTTCAGTAGCAAGGTCCCTGCGAAAAACCGAAAATCCTTTCATGGGGAACCTGGACTCAGATCTGAGTTTGGTTTCTTGGATGCAAGCAACCAAAGGTCGCTGAGAGCGGATTAGTGCTTGCAGTTCTGGAGTGCTAGAACGCAAGCCTCTGCAGTTCCACTGCAGGATAAAACGTGTTATTGCTGTAGTTTTGAGCGCTTGGGGTAAGCGAAAGGTGTCTAAAACTGGCGACTTTGACTTGAGTTAAAAAAAAAAAAAAAAAAAAAAAAAAAAGGCGGGGAAGCGTTGCGCATCCCAACGTACAAGAATATTAGTATAATTAACAGAACTCGTCATTAAAACTTTGTCCTCCTGTTTAGACTCAAAGCTACGAGTTGCGGCTCTGTAGCACCGTAGGCTACAAAACTTGTCGCTTTAAGGACTTCGAACGTTGCTCAGTCTAGCAGCAAAGTCATTCTGCCGAGACCCACTTGAGCAAGACATAAACACAGCTGCTCTTATGAGCGACTTTGTTGAGAACACTCACCGAACTTGGCTCTGTCTCCCCTCCGCCCGTCGCTGGCGGCGCTCGCTGAGCTGGCGCTGCTCGTGGTAGAGAGCGTAGGGGACGGGTGACGCCGTCTGTACAACAGAACACAGGGTAAGTAGACAGAGAAATTACAATGTGGAGAGGGTAGGGGACGGGTGACGCCGTCTGTACAACAGAACACAGGGTAAATAGACAGAGAAATTACAATGTGGAGAGAGTATTTAGACAGAGAAATGTCACTGTGGAGAGCGTAGGGGACGGGTGATGCCGTCTGTACAACAGAACACAGGGTAATTAGACAGAGAAATTATAATGTGGAGAGGGTAATTAGACACGTAAATGACACTGCTTGTGGTGGACAGGACGATTAGAGAAATGACACTGTGTGGATAGGTAATTAGACAGAGAAATGGCACTATGGAGAGGGTAATTAGACAGAGAAATGACAATGTGGAGAGGACGAGTGACATCGTCTGTCCAACAGAACAGGGGGTAATTAGACAGAGAAATGACACTCATGCTTGTGGTATACCGACAAACAAACTAAATGATACGGGTGATACCACCTATCCAACAGTAGGCGAACAGAGAATATTTTTATCACAACACTAAATCACATACCTAAAAAACGACCAAATTACTTTGCCGTTCAACTACTATAAGACAGCGCTTACAAAACAACACAAGCATGGCCCCGCTAACGCTTAATCGCACTTCCATAAGAATTCATCGACCATCTCTACCGTGGCTTTTTGCGAAGGGAGGGAGAGGGATTAAGGACGTATCGAAAGCGGGCCACTATCCGTCCATTCACTGAAACTACTTGTTTGTTCGCTTATTTGTCATGTTACAGCAACTGTGAGCCCACTACCCGTCTATTCACAAACCGTGTTTGCTTGTTCGTTTATTTGCTTTGTAGGTAACATCCACCGACCGTGTTTGTTAATTCGTTCGTTCAATTGTTTGCTTTGTCGGTAACATCCACTGAGACCGTGTTTGTTTGTTTGTTTGTGTGTTTGTTTATTTGTTGGTACCACCCACTGACCGTGTGGTGGTGGTGGATGAGCCGGCCGGCGGCGGCTCACACTCGAGTGACATCTGCAGCAGCTTCTCCTCATCCTGAACCACGCTGAGGTTGCCCAGGTAGGCCTTCACCCTGCGCACCATCTGAGCCTGCCGCACACAGGACAACATCGCCGTGAACATGCTGACTGTGTGGAGAATACCAACTCGGAGAAGGCAAACTTGGAGAACATCAAGTTGAAGAATACAAACTTGGAGAAAATAAGCTTGGAGTATACAAACATGGACAATGCAAACTATTAATTTATACAACTGACAGCACACGTAGGCGGGGGTGTTTTTATTTCATCTAACATTTTTAAAGGGAATACTCAATAAAATAACAAAGTCGGACCGGGCAAAACTGTTGTCAACATTCAGTGAAAGATTGAATTAAAGTGAAAGTAGCAAGGTTGGTTGCGGTATTGAAACGGCACGAAGGAAGTTTAATCTAAGGGGGTGGTTTTCGTGCTTACAAAGATATAATACACAGTACACACAATATGCCAAAAAGTGAAAAAGGTACAAAAACAAATAGCGATAATGGCAAAAGCTGTTTGCCTTCTTCAAAATATGATTGCAAACGCCAAGATCTTCCATTAAAACAGCAGACAAAACTATGTATCACAAATTTATTTCAATTAATCTGTTTGTCCGGCATCGACCGCAGGACGTCTGGCTCGTTATTCTGTCTCGCTGCTTATCTACTAATTAGTCACGGCAAACTCACTAATCAGCTCCTCATTAATCATGGCCCACAGCCCGAGGCGGCAGACAACAGCTAACGAGGGGGGCCAGGGAGGTAAAAACACGAGAAAAGTCCCGGTAACCTGTGAGTTCCCCTTTTCACTAGACAAACTACATTGCTGTATTTTCCCTGTATCGGGGAGCTCCTTCAACTATACGCAAGAATACTGCAAGAATACAAGAATACTCTTAGCAACTTATGATGGGCGCAAAACATACATATTCTCACTAGAATTACACTGATCATAGACTATTATCCCTGATCTTTAAAACAAAAATCATGACCAACCCACTAAGGAAACCCTAACCAAGCTCACAAAACTCATCACCATAAAAGCTCTGCCTTCGCCTAGATTCGTACCCACAGTACCCCTACCACGTCACCTACCTCCTCGAACATTTTCTTGGGGTTGGACTGCGCCTGCGACTTCCTGCGTCGTTTGACGGTGGCGTTTCTCTGCGCGGTGAGGGTCAGTTGTCCTAGACCGGAGTGACCGGCCAGCTCCAGCATCGAGCAGGCGTCATACTGCACCGAACACATGTCGGACAGAGAGCGCACCTGACGGAGAGAGAGGGAGAGGGGGTGGGGGGTGAGTGAGTGAGTGAGGAGAGAGAGAGAGAGAGAGAGAGAGAGAGAGAGAGAGAGAGAGAGAGAGAGAGAGAGAGAGAGAGAGAGAGAGAGAGAGAGGCGGGGTGAGGTTGTGTGTGTGTGTGGGGGGGGGGGAGGGGGAATGGTGGCATACTTAAATCATCTTCCCTCGGATAAATATTACGCAATTTCTCGGCGGTCATCAATGGTGCATTGAAACGGAGACATACAAATTTCAATGCGTTACCAACAGCATATGCTTCAATGAAGTGAGACCATTTCACCTTAGACGTTCATAGGATAGGACATTTCTAGCCACCTGATATTGGTAGTACGGTATGGTATTATATAAGGAGGGAAAAGTAATAGCGAGAAGTTGAGGAGGAACTTGTTTGGAAGTACGATTATGTATATACCAGCTGAGGGAAAACCGTATGCCAGGGTAGAAGTAACGTTTTTTACATTTATGTACCAGACAGGGAAGCCGGGGTGGCAGGTGTGACACTTCAGCTTCAACAAGTCTACCCCCACTACCAACAACCTACAGTCTCGGCTCCGCCATACCTCCTTGGCGATCATCCTGAGCTTCTCGAAGTTGACGAGGCCGTCCACCCATGTATCGTTACCCAGGTGGATGAACGTCAAATCCTTCTTCACGATCGGGTAGAACGGAATCTGAGCGAGACAACAGATTGTTAATGAGGTAAATGGAACGCGATTTTAGTGCGTTCAGCTAGTTTATGGTCACAGCAACTTAATCTGGCTTCGTCTTTTAATGGAATTGCCTGTTGGCGATGGTGCGAAATAAACAAAACAATAAACAAAACTGAAAACGTCGATTCAATCAAATTAACTAGTTACTGATTCATTAATCAATGTGTTTGTTATTACAAAAAACCGTCGTATTTTCAAATCACCACACTAATTCCAGACGTGACCGTACTATATTGACGTCTTCTACCGTATCGTGTATTGGCACACGACACCACACTTGACACGTGCCGCGACTGGTACCGTAAACACCAATTGGTGACCACCAAATTCGTGACGCAGCTCGTGACTCACCAGCGGGGGTTGAACGTGCTCCGACGTGATGAGGTTGCGGTACTTGGACATGTTCCTGCTGGGATCCATCAGGCCCTGTGGTGTCAGAGAACAACCAGCGGTTAGTAATGGTGCAGTCGGACAAGGGGTTGGGAGTGAGGGTTAGATTGACAATGCTGGACGAAACCGATCTGGCACCTAGGCGAAGTGGGCATGAATTAACTAAATAGTTGCAGCTGATTTGTTCCAAAGCCACAATGGCACATACTACTGCTCCAGGCTAGCTTACCAGCCAGGCCGGCCCATTCACCTGAGTGTCCCATCAAACCCAGTCCTGCATTCCCTCCAACCATTCCCATTAAACCCGGCTCCCTCCCCATAAGGTCTTTTCAACTCAGTCCTTATTAGAGACTGCGCACACTGTACAGCCAAACTCATCCCACTCCCTTGAGTTGCCTCTCTTCATCATACCCAGAAGTCACACCTCCTTTTGATACCCAATACATCAGACAATTACATAAGAAATAACTAGACTTCCGATTCCATTATCATCCTTAACTTTTCCTACCACCATCCCTCCTCTCGACGCAGAGTCGAACGCGCGTCCTCACCAGCATATCGTTATAGATCTTCTGGTACTTGGTGGGCAGCTTGTCCCAGGTCTGTTTCAGCCTCCCCACCGCCCCGTGGCTGAGGCCGGACACGATGTTGAACAAGGAGTTGAAGTTCTTGCACTCCTTGCAGTGGCCTATGGGGCGGGGGGAAGGGGTATATAGTGATATATGAGCTGATGTGAACACTGAAAGATATGTGAAAATAAAAGAAATAGAAAGATGTGTGAGATGGATGTTAAAAATGTCAAAAGGACCGACGTGTTAAAACATGATGCACCACAGGAATAGTCTCTCGTCATGAATGATGTGACTAATGAACGCTCGTTGACAGGAAAAAATATCATGGCTATCATATACTAAAAGTAAAATTACCATCAGTCTGTCATAGATTGCCCGCCGCCACGGCATGCAGTGTTTTCAATAGATTGTTGTAACCATAAATGTAAACAAACGCGGTAAAATCAGTCTTTTTCGAGCTAAACTGTTTCGAAACCTGCTACAGATCAGATGATACGTACGGGCGACTTTGATGAACTGTTTGACGATCTTCATGCGTTTGACGACGTTGTGTTCGCCACAGACTGCGGTGATGACCCAGAACATCTCACGGTTCACCAGCTGTAGAGAGGTCAGGTCAGGTCAGGTCAGGTCAGGTCAGGATAGGTCAATGACCCAACAGAGAACAGCTTACGGTTCACCAGCTGTCAAAGGTCAGGTCAGGTCAGATCAGGTCAGGATAGGTCAATGACCCAACAGAGAACAGCTTACGGTTCACCAGCTGTGAAAAGGTTAGGTCAGGTCAATCTGGTTAAAAACAAAACTTAGGGAGTGTGGATCAAACTTACAGAGAGGCCTAATTGATTACAAGGGACAAGTCACTTAAGTCTCACAGCATCCTGCATAAACTGATGATACAAACATAGCAAGAACACCGTTAACGAAATCGCGCTATTTGGGAATGGTTTCTGCGACCCGACACCAACTACAGTGCTGGTTTTCAATCAATTACACGAATACCTCAAGTTCTCATGCCAGTTCACAACGAAACTATCAAAGCCCAGCTAACAAAGCATTAAAAACGGTGTCATTCACGAGATCTCAACCCTCCTATGAGATCAGAGTTAGTTTCCAAGCCCATCGTGCCAAGATCGAACTTTTATAAATCCCGAATATTCTGGTCCCACAACGCCACACATTAATTCTACACTCTAGTGGCGTCCCGCCTTACCTCAGCGAACTGCCTCAGTCCAGGCGTTCCGTAGCGGCTTTTAAGCTCAAACAGATCGTCCACATACTCAGTGGCCTCGATTTGTCGAAACAGGCTGAAGTCGTCGAGAGTAAGCTGAAAAAGAAGCCGCAGAAAAGGGAGTTATGTAAAGGCATGCTGGGCAAATATACGCGTTTAGCATAATGGGGCGTGATGTACAGCACTAGGGGGTGAATGCGAGATGGGAATGTGAGACACCGGCGGAGTGTGCGCTGAAAATGATAAGAGACATATAATAAAGATAGGACCACGGCAGGAGCGAATTCGAGGTAAGGCTGAATACAGGCTAACGATGCCGAATACAAATACCTGCGCTGGTTCTTACGGAGTGTTCAAGAAGAGAATCACGAGCAAGATGACATTGCAGACCATCGACATATTTTTAGAGCGCGCCTTGCATTACATGATAATTCTGCAGTATACACGATTATTTAATTTTGCCAATTCATAATGTTCCCCCAGGCGGATTTTACCCTGCAATGACAAGTCTTTAACCTAGACCAGAAACAATTAGCTCTCACCCCACCACCAGACCATCAGACCCCACCTCACATCACATTATTACCGGCCCTGTAACCCTAACCCACCCCTACGAATCATACCGAAACGCTCACCCTATCCATAGAACCGACCCCACCGCTCACCCACCCCTAACCCATCCCTAGTAACCACACCCCACCCCTCACCCCACCCATAAACCCGACTAAACCGCTCCCCCGGAGGTCACAGATCCGACCGTAACCTAACCCTCCACGTGGGACCCGCCCGGTTACCTGTACGGCCACCTCCAGAGCGTTCAGCTGAAGGAAGTGGACGCTTCCCTCTCGCGGCAGCTCTGCCGCCAGCTCGTCAGGAACCAGAGGCTCTGTCACCTGGTTGTTCTTCAGGTAGTACCTGATGATGAACGAAGGAGAGCAGCACGTTAACACTGTTTATCAGCTAGCGGCTTACGTATACCAATCAGCGGGGAAAATGTCGCCTTAATCGTTTATGCAAAAATAGCTTTACGAATAATACAAAACACATCAACGAAGAAAAATACGCGAAGCATGAATGTGTCATCACTAACAAAAGGCCCCGATGAGAACACAATTTACGCTCTCAGCCCGAAATAAACAAGCATCGCGACCTTCTGTGAGTCTGAGACATTTAAAAACACATTCTTGCTGCTACCCCTTCAGAAGTTTATCACCAGCAGCTGGCTGTCGTCTCAGTAATATCCCTCAATCGAGCCATTTTGCCCCTTCCCTGACTCCCACTTCCTCCGCCAGTCGACGATCATTTTCTCTCCTCTCCTCTTATCCCCTTCTCTCCTTCCCTCTCCTCTCCTCTCCTCTCCTCTCCTCTCCTCTCCTCTCCTCCCCTCCGCGTCCCCCTCACCTGCTCCCCAGTCCGATTCTCTCTGCCAGATTCTGCATCTGGTCGGGCAGTCGTCTCTGTTTGACCACACCGCCGGCTCCGGCAGTCACCTCACACAGACTGTAATTACTACTCGGATCGGTGATGCCAAACTCCCGCAGAGACAGCATGCACACCTCGCGGGCCGTGGTCTCCTGCGAGAGAGAATTAACGGCGGATGGTGTGATCACTCATGGCTTGTCAAGGAAATACATACAAGGTATATACATAAACATACATAAAATGCATACCACCAATGTGTACTAGATCTTTGTAGCCTAAGGAACAGACTTATCTATACATAGATACGGAGGTCAGTGCCTAACGCTTTCTGCAAGGAAAACAGGCTGAGGTATAATAATGCGGACATTATCAGACGGTTTACATTGCGCTTACACTGCCACAGGTAATAATTGAGACTTGATTGCAGCTTAGTACGTGTAAAAGTGAAATTCTATTTTCACTGTTATACGTAGCACTAAGGTCAAGAACCTTACGAGAACAGCATTAGCAGTTCAAATGGCAGGTCACTGCCCCACGGGTCAGTCAAAGGATAGCTCACCAAACATTCAACCACATGACAGTTTATGCCTTACTCAGATTTATCCTACAGATCGTTACTGGGGGAAAACCACAGGCCCTCTACATAGCCTTTCCAAGGTACCTAAATTAAAAAGGCAGGACCCCACCACTGGCAGTAATACCCTTAGTTGTCAAGTGGCATGCCTCCATTCCTTCATTTAATTAGGCACAACGCATAAGCATTATTACAAACAAGACGAGTAGCCTACTGGGAATATAATTAGAGATTCAACAAGCTATGCATGTTCCCATACAAACATCAAATGGTCTTCACAATGCAAGTGGATCCAGACAGATGAAAACGGACGCTACAGCCTACAGGGGTGGGCGGCGGTTGCAAGATTACTTTACTTTACTACTCGAGGGGCTGCTCCCCAAAAATGTTCACTTATTTCCCAAACTTCTTGGACTTCGCTTTCTTACGCATTGCAAATTTTACTTTAAAAACATTAAGTCGCCTTTATATATGATGGGAAAACGGGATGGAAATTTGTCAATTTCAAACGTTGCGGGAGAAGCCAATGCCTATAAGCGCCTCCAGGATCCACCAATGACCTTAAACTCTTACCTAAAACTGGGATACAGGTTTAACTTTTAACCTATTCATCCACTCACACCCATGTCTCACCTTGTGCACCAGCAGGTACTTGCAGCTCTGGTCGGCCTTGTACACCTTTAGCACGTGCTCCGGATAGTCGAACTTCCACTCGTCGTAGCTGAGCTGACTGAGGTCCGGGTTACTGTGGGAGTGGTACATGGCTCCGGGGGTGGGTGGACCGTCCCCTCCGCTGCCGCCGCCGCCCGGTACCAGCGTGTCGTCCGAGTGGTGCGCTTGGCTGTGAAAAAGGGGACGAAGGGTTTATATGTGAGACTGGGGACCAGTGGTGTGGTTGTCCGTAATTTTTCGTTGGGGATATCTTAGGGCACGCCGACGAACTATGCGTCCACATTGAGCTCAGAAACCTACATGACAGTGTACCTCCTGTCCCGATATTAGAAATAAATAACACAAACACAAAGATATAAACCACTTGATGGTGATTTGGGGGTTTAGGGCATGTCCCGTCCTGCGGTAGTCACCGCGTTTATGTATCGCCTACTCACAGTGGAGTTTTGTGCGTGATGGCTTTGATCAGCGCCTTCCTGAACTTGATGGTGCGCAGCCCGAGCGTGGCGAACGTCTTGTGGATCGCCTCCTTCTTGTCCTTCTGAGTCGGGTCTGTGAGGTAGAAAACGTGACAGAGGTCAGATCGGATCATTTCAGGTCAATAAAACACAAGCACTTGGAAACTAATATTAAAAACGAGGTACCCGATCACGTTAGTACAAATTAAACACGTCGTCGTATTGACGGTCAACAAATATAGGAGTTTTGGAGCGCATTTGAGCCACTGCGTCTAGGTAGCGGGCCGATGGCATCACCAGCCACCAGGTGGCGCAACAGTCGCACCCACCAGCCAGTGGGTGCGACTGTTGACCAGACGCCCGATCAACAACTATCGCATCCTGATAGGTTGTGGGTGACTAGAAACACCAGCAGACGTCTTGTTTTCTGCATTCTTCATGCATAACTTGTCATTGTTGGGTGTGGTGTGATCGCGTCGCGTGTGGTGTGATGGGTGCGGCGCGTCTCAGACTCTATTTTTGGGATACAAAAGAAATACCCGGCATAGCGCGCGCGGCTCCCCAGTTGGCGCTACCAAGACGGGTTATCGGATTATTCCGAAGCACCACAAGCCCCTTACCGTTCTCTGAGGTCGGTGCCGCGGTGCCGGCCGGGTTCGTTCCGGGCAGCCGGGGCCTCTGGTAGTTGTTGAGGCCAGAGATCTCTGAACCCTTCCGCTGGCGGGGTCGGATCGCGTCCTCCGGGGTCTGGAGCATCTCCTTGAACGCTGTGGACAGAAGGGGAGGGAGGGGGTAAGTAGAAGATGGGGGAGGAGCACAAACGGAGAGCAGTTTAGATGGAAAACCTGTTGGGTAACAGCAGCTGATTTGAGGAACAAGCAAAACAAAACAATATAGGCAACAGGAGCTCAAATACGAGACGATCATTCAGCAACGTCCATTTTAACTACTTAGTGGTTTGTTTGATCATTTAATCACCGAATGGTTATTTATCTTTACACCATTATTTTGAAATACAAAGCAGAATATACAGTAGCATAAAACTGAAAAAAAAACGCCAAATGCAAGCCAACAAGAATTCCTCGCGTTCAATTTCACACCAAACGATGCGCTCTATAGGTCATTGTGCTCCATCCCTAACTTTATCCTTCTTCTTCACCCTACCCCCCCCCCCCCCCGATCCAGCTTCCGAGAAACAGGGCCGGGCAATCCATCACAAACTCACCGAGCAAGTTGCTTTTGACGGTGATGCTGAGATGGGTGGTACCTCTGAGCACCTCCAGAGCGCGCGGGTGCGAGATGTGCTCGAAACTCTGGCCGTTCACCTGAGAGAAACGACAGGGTGAAGTCGGTTAATGAGTACATCACGTGCTACGTGGCGATTGGCGAACAATTATTGACGAGTTGGCGCTGAGCCTGTTCCATATAAAAGCATACACATCCAAAAAACGTAACGAAACATAAGCAGCTGAGACATACAACACAAACCGACAACACATTTCTTCCTTCCCAAAATAAAATACACACAAACAAGCACAACATTTCTTTAAAAAAAAAAACTCGTCGGGCACTGATCTCACCCGAAATACATGTGCGTACCCCAAGAACATCCCGCTAACCCGCGCCCCGCTGGGGTCTGCCGAGCAACGCGCCCCGCCGGGGGAGGGCAATTTGCCCCCCCCCCCAAGATCTCGTGAACCACGCAACATAGCGACAAGCAGCAAACTGCGTTGGATAGCCCCAACGGGGAACTACCTTGTGACCCAATTTCATTGACCTCGGTCAAACCGATGACGTCACAGGTCAGGTCAAAGGTTGACTTTTCACCGTTTGCAGGCATTTCAAGAAATGTGTTGTACAATCGAGTTGAATGCATATCATTGAAAATCATCGATGGGGAATGGGGTTGGGAACTCGATTTTTTAAGAATGCATGAAAATGATCAAACTATTTTCACAGAATTTATGGTGCATACCATTGCCTCATAAAATCAATAAGCTGAGAGAAATGGGGGAAGAAAGATAGGAAACTTGTTTTGAAAAGTTCTTGAAAAAAGATGCTCTTGATGCTGTTACGTCACATGTCACCTTCTGCGGTTGACAAATAATGGCGCATCTGGCGCACCACAGATTATATGTTATATCAATGGGTGAAAGATGTTGTTTGCTTCACTCTGCCATTCGCGCTGTTTTTAACTTTAAATTATGCTAAAACATTTACGGATGAAATGTTCAGTGTCAAAAATTGATGTGTCGGCCGTGTACTATATTCCCACTTAACATGAGCGCGTGATAAACATTTTATGTACCTCGAATTTTCAAATGATAAAGATGATGAATCGGAGGATGCTGAAAAGCAAAAGCTCATTCCAATATTTGGACTACTTTACGATTAAAATGTTTACATTCCTGTCATCTTATTGATCATTTATTTGTTCTTTTTTATGAAAATAACTTAAGGCGTTGAGAACCGAGGTAATTTCTATCTACCGTGCCTTAACTTACCAGCAACAGCAATCTATCTACGCCCTACGGTGGCAAGGGAGACTGTGAAAGAAGCGTAAGATGGATTCTAAACAATTATTTTGTGATATACTGAAGGGCAAAGTGCAGAGAAGAGCGTACAAGTCCTGTTTGTGCCAGGCTGTTGCAGTAGCACTTATGAAACTCCGAAAACGATCTTCGTTCATGTCCCGAACAACATTACCCTGAGGAGATGATCGTCTGCAATAGCAGGAAGAGCTGATGCAAGTACTTTGAAATCCACTATCAAGTCGGTGCTATTGTTGTAATGATCACTGTGAGGTGAGATATTTTGTGCAAGGGCTGAGTGTAATGCCCAGGAAATGACCTCCATTCGCCCCCTGACCGGTCAGGGTTATAAAATTTGAGTGGATGGCGGTCCGTTTGGGGTTCAGATGTCAATTGTATTTTGTTACTGTCAAACAATACATGTTATGCTGGCAGCGAATGTGTGTAACGTCGTTTTTCGAAACAGAAGTTAGAACTGTAACGGCAGAGTGCTTGCTGGTCTCATCGTAAGTATTGTAAGTGTTGTAAGCAAAAGCATTGTCAATATTGTAAGTATTGTGAGCATTGATGTATGGTAGATATCACCTCACATGATCTCGGCTCAGATAACCCTCTCCGGTGTCCCTGTCAGTAAATGGCACCTGGATCATTACAGATAAGATAATTTGTCATAATTCTTAAAGAATTGGGTGGTTTTGACTCGTTTACTCGAGGTGCAGGTCGCATTTCAATACTTTTCCATAGGCTTGCAATGTAAAGGTCACGACTCTGACCTAACCTCAGGTCACAGATAAAAAATTATGAGATATACAAACGACACATACTGCAGGTACTGTTTTGAAGACTTGATGAGAGGAAATAACTTCGTGAAAAACTCAAGCTCTGACGTGTTTGCAAACTTTTCTGAGGTGGGGTCAACAAACCCGCTCTGGTTACCTGACCTGACCTGACCCGGCATTTTTTTTTTGCTGAGATGTGCGCAATGAGCATTTAGGAAAAGTCACCAAATATGAGCTGAATGTCTCGCGGCGTTTGGCAATTGTACAAGAAAATCCTGAAAGGTCTCCCCGTCCGAAATAGGGTTAATGTGTATATGAAGAGTTGCAGATGCCAAACATACCCAGGTCTAAGACTGCAGTTCCCAGCGCCGCTGCAACGTTTTTAAAACAAACATACATAGGACATACAAACATGTTTATTTGCATCTGTTTTGGATAATAGCAACTCATGGCGCCATCACCCGCGATAACTGTTAGGATTTGAGATATATTTCTATTTAGGCCATTAGTTTGGCTGTAATGTTTATTAATATTAGTTGGGCGGAGTTTGGTAGTTTTTTATTTAACTTGTGGTATGTTGTGCTGATTGCGAGTTGTTCAAACCTTTCAAATGTAAGGACCTTATTGAACTCAACCCTACCCCTACACTACCCTACATACGACTGGACGCTTTCCAAGCCCACAAGCATCACGACGCCGAGATGGAATGTAGCCGAAAAATCACCCTCGCCATCTGCTCTAGAGCTAATCGTGTGGGGCGGCGTGTGGGGCGCCGCTTAGCCTATGGGGGTGCACTTCTAGTGGATGGGGGACGGGGGTGCACCTGCACCCCTTTCATATGGAAAGTTACTTCCCTGATTACAGCTCCCCGTATTGCACCTAATCAGGGAACGGCCAGCAAACGAAGGAACTATTTCTGGATGACAGGCGAATAACCGCTCACGCAAGGAGCGGAGCTCCGCCCCGTCCAAAGTGGCCAACAAAGCAGAGACAGAGGCAGCATCACATCTTCCATCAAAGAACTGGTTTCTGGCTTGGAAGATGAGCTCCATCTTTGCATCCGAGTCGGTGCTGTCAGGAATCAGCTGGTCTAATGGAGTGAGAGTAGTGAGACGACTAGCTATTGTATCAGAGCTGCCTGGGCCCTGTTTCAGCGGTGATACCAGCACGCTGCTTTTACACGTGTCAAATTGGGTTTCCATGGAAACATCAACAGGCCCATTGCTCCAACACTACCACAAGTGTGACGTCAGCTCGCGCAATTTGATAGCAGCGTGGTAGCAGCGTCCCGTGAAACACCGCCCTGGTCTTCGTAGCATTTGCACCGATTCTTCTCGATCGGACTCTGAATCCTGTCTCTCCTGCGTATTACTTGAGGCATTGCTATGTAGCTAAGTCTTTGGCAGAGTTTCATTATCCATGCTTTGCAAACAGTGCCATAACAACACAGTTAATTAATCACCAAGCTTCTTTGCAAGTTCCAATACAGTTGAATCGCACGCGATTTGAGTGCAAAAATCAAGAAAAGTGCCAACTTGTTCCCGTAAAATATTTTGAATATTGACCTAAAAAAATGAGTAATTTCCAGATAAAATAACAGCAAAATCAGTTTTCGCTTGCCAATAAAACTCACAGATATTGAAGCTCCATTATTAAAGGAACATTTTAGTATATGCCATTCTTGATAAAACTTCTTAGCCACGCAATACCAGCGCAAAATAAAGAGACACTGAAAACACGACCAATCACTCCGATTTACCATAGGAAAATACATAGAAAATGTATGTCTCAACTGCGCCAAATATACAGACAGTTATATACCTACATGTGACGTCATGATTAGCCCGACCAATCAGAAGCAAGTTGTTTTCAGCCACAAATAATTAATTTCTGAACTAACTAGGCATTTTTATAACAAAGTGATTTTAAATTAAATCATTAAAAATTCTGAGCTTTTTTATTTTACCAAAACATACAGAGCATGCAGATAGGTCCCAACCCTATTGTTCGTCAAACACATATTTTGCTATTTGAGGTCACTGATACCAGGTCAGGTCACAGAGGTCAGGTCACTGAGGGTCACAATATGAAAATAGCATGTGATGCATGTTTTATGGTCCATTTTACATGACAAATGCGATTATGTGGGTCAGGCAGCCTTTGGGGCCAGTTTAGGTTAGGTTCTGGTGAAGGTCAGGTCAAGGTCAGGTCAAATAAGGTCAAATTTCAAACTTGATATTTTTGCATAAAATGGGTATCGATTCGATGCAGCTCGTCACGGGGAGTCTGACGGTGGTCTTTGTTTTTCGCTACATGGTCTAGAATTGCTAGAAATTGAGTTTGGAAATTTGACGTCATAAATTTTGAATAGTTTTTTTTTCGCTATAACTTGGCCAAAAAAAGAGATATCGATCCAAAATTTGGTATGTAGATAGGAGAGGGTTGGGGCTATCATATATGTTCCGTTTTTTTTTTAATTCGAAAAAATGGGAATTTTTTGAGTTTAAAAAAAAAAAATCAGTTTTTCGGATTTTTGGGGGTCAAAATCCGAAATTTTGAAAATCCGAGATAGCAGTTTTGTAGCGGCATCTTATAATTAATTAAGATGCCACCAGATGATGATTATAATTGATTATATATTAATCACCAGATGATTATAATTGTGTATGTGGGTTAATAGCCCACATACACATGCCACCAGAACAGTGGGCCTAGTACCGGTAACACATTGCCGCCAAGACCACCAGCAATCTACATACTTCATAGTTCATACGGCCTTAATTTACACATACAAGTCATCATCATGAACATGCACAGTCAGGTCAGTTTCAACTCCAAAAAGGAACCCCTCGGAATCCTGCCCCGCCCCGCATCGCCCCGCAAACTACACATCCTCGTTCTCGCTGGGGCGATGCCCCAGGCCACCGGCCGGGCCCGCGACCCGTCACCCTGATAGGGTGGCGAGCCGCGCGCCCGGCCGGCCGGCCGACCCTTTATCAGTTGGTGACATACCAG